TGTGTGTGTGTGTGTGTGTGTGTGTGTGTGTGTGTGTGTGTGTGTGTGTGTGTGTTGTGGGTGGGATGATGTGGAAAATGAAAAGAACGCTTCCATTCTTGATGAGAATGCACTCAGGGGCCACTTGGGATTTGCAGTTTGTCATCGGATGCTTCAGCAAGGGATACTTCGGCCCTAGATTCTTATGTGCGCAAGTGGAGAGGTTAGTTATTGACGTCTTCTTTTCTCTATCCGTGGATAGCATGCAGAGCCAGGAATGCCTCTTTTTGACTCAACCTTTCTGAAGTTAGATTTGTTTGTTGGGTTCATGTGTACATATTTGCAAGGTCATATCATTTGTTTAAGCGCTCCTCCTGTCATTGTCCAGTGGCCAGTGTTTGATATCATTTGTTGCTCGTCAATTTCACTTTACCTGCTGGTGCTGCTGCTGAAGCTCTGCTGACCGACATGCAAATCCCTGTGTTGCCTCATCACGGCGTGCTGTTATGATCCTTTTCCAGTCATGATGCAAAACTCTAACTTGAGAAAATGGCTTGAATCATAAATGAGAGAAAAAAAGTGTAGACGAGAAAAGACAGAAATAGAACGAAAACAGGAAGATGCAAGGAGCCATGCAACGAGAACAGTTGAGAGTAGAGAACGAAAGTGAAATGCACACCAATCAGAACTGAAGTCTATTGATAGAGAAAGCCCGTCATTCGTAGCAGCAGCCCTACTGCGTGCGGTGTGACCGCCCTGTCTACTTTCTACCGCCTCCACATGCTAGCCTCTACAAGCCTACTACCCATCAACGTGTCACTTGCCCAATTCTGCCTGAAGACTCAGCTCATACACGTGTCCCTCACCAACACCAGGTAAGAACCGCCAGTCCCCACTGCCTTCCCTAACGAGACTTCCTGTACTCCACCCAGACTTCCTGCACCTAGCTATGGCTGGTGCGCACTGCAGGCACCGCAGGTACTCCTTTTCACTCTCTTGGGCGCTGCCTTCCTCCGCTAGCGCAAGCAGCGCTCACCCACGCAGCTTCCCTGCCCTAATGTCCAGGGCCCATGCTTCGCCCTGTCCCACCCAGCAGAGTGTCATGCCTACTGGGGCAGTCGCGAAGTCCTTGCCTCTGCAGCTATCTCGAAGGCTGGGCCTACTGGTTAGTAGCAGAGTTCTAGCTCCTGTCAACCAACCTTCAGGGAGGCTTTGCCATCCTTCTCTTAGGGCCGGCGTGGACGTCCATGCCCAGCTTCACGTACCGCAGCCGGCCTCATTTCCCAGCGCCTGCAGCGGGCTGCGGAGGCCTGGGGCCTCACAGTCCTTCCCCCTTGCTTTCGAAACTCCTCTAAGAATTTCAGGGTCTGAAGCCCAGTGTATCGCAGATCCAGAAATGACAAGTTCGGTCTTTGCAGTTGCAGCCAGCACTATAAAATGTGCAAAGTGTGAAGATCTGTCAGCAACCACAAAAGTCTGTTTGTTCACTTTCCTGCTGGGCACGAGCGTGCTCATGAAGTCCATGGCCAAAGGGTACCTGAGTGCGAGGCTGGTCACTCTGACAAAGCAGCCAAGTTTCATCATAGACCTGGGCATCCCTCATCGTACCAGCCCACCAAAAATGTCTAAAAAGATCAGCAAAGTCTTTTTGAATCCGAAGTGACCTGTGGCATTGGGACATTCTCCAAATTATAAGCCACAAGCAGGTTCACTACTTGGCTTACAGAATCTTTCCTGTCCACCCGTACTCAAGAATAACAGCACATCACCACGGTTCCGCGCAATAACCAGCCACCCCAATCAGCTACACCTCTCTCTCCACCGCCACCACCTAATCGCTTGACGACTCCTCACCCACCCCACTGCCAGCCTCTCCCCCAACCTCAACCCCCCTCCCTCCCCTTCCCCCCCACCTTCCTCTCTACCCAAGCAGGAGTGAAACTAACAGAACGCCCAGGAGTGGACAGGGGAACCAGACATGGGATCCAGTGGGACAGAGTGCAGATGTTGGACGACAACCCAAAGACCTGCGAAAAGCCAACGACTGAAGATGTTTAGGCAGAGAAGGCAAAGCCTTCAGCCCAGCAACATGTTGTACACTAACAAGTGAAACCTGCTTAAAACAACAACAACAACAAGTGAAACCTGCTAAAAACAACAACAACAACAACAACAACAACAACAACAACAACAACAACAACAAGTGAAACCTGCTTTTACCATAGTAGCTGCACTGCATGAATCAGAGCTGAGACTGGGGTAGGTGGGGTAGGGCCCTCCATAGCGTCCGGTAATAAGCCCCAAGTATGGAGTCCTGTTTGTGCGGATTTTCCTACAGCTCCAATAAAGAGTAAAAATTTACCAAAAACGCAAATAGCAGACGGTAGTGCATGAATTTTCATAACAAATGGGACAAAAAGATCATAGGTTGTATAGCATAGAGATGCCGGACGCGCTTTCCAGCATGGTACAGAAATCACATGGTGTATACCACAGGGACGTGGGACCTGCTTTCCGGCAGGTGATGCTCCCCACCAATAGATGGAGCCTCTTCCATGCAGACCCCATTTCGGGAGGGTGCTCTCATCACCTCCCTAAGTGGGTCTTTAGACCGAAGTTTTCTTTAAAAAAAAAAGAGAAAAAAGAATGACAGAACATCCACCATCCTCTCAACCTTCATGGGGAGGAGCGTGGAGTGGGTTATTCTTGTACTCTTCATTGACTTGCCGGGGGAATAGGAACTGGACTGTTGCTCCCCAGAATGGCAGGAGCCAGAACCGAGAGGTTCTGATTTATATAATAAAAAAAAAAGAACATCCACCATCCTGAACTCCTCACACACAAGTTCTGTTCTTGAACACCTCTCGATCCGGAACTCAGTTGCCTGCGAGCGGAAGAAAGTCAGGCCTTTTAGACAATGCATCAGCAATCACATTGAACTGTCCTTGGACGTGCCAAAAAATTCCAACATGGCTGTTAACGCACCATACCTAACGAGGGTATGGGAGTGGAATGCCTGGTCATGCCCAAAATCATGGGCAGAAAGAGAACGGGAAAAAAAAAAAAAAGGAACAAAAATCGAAGTGAAAAAAAAACGGCTCTTTTTGTAGACGCGGGATTAGTTTGAGAGAGAGAGAGAGAGAGAGAGAGAGAGAGAGAGAGAGAGAGAGAGAGAGAGAGAGAGACAGACAGAGAGAGAGAAAAGAACGAATCTTCCAGTGTTGGAAGATTCATTCTCATTTTGCACACACACACACACACACACA